TGATGAAAATAAAACCAAACAACTACTTAAGATTCCGGTTTTGCATGTGATAGCAAGATTATCGGGGACTGTGTATCATCAGCACTCTCCAAAGATTGCAGTTATCGTTGCGATGAACTGACATTATGCCGGAATTCAGCGCCCCGATGTTCGATCCATGCCTCTCGGGCATTTCTTTCTTTTTAGTTGTGGATACGTGAAGCGTAGAAACGACTATTAGTATGAGGCAGAATATGCAAATGTGTCACTCACGCAGATGTAAACTTTTGGTCGATAACATGGAGAGCCTGGGTACGAGTTTTCTCGAAGACCTCCAAAGTTCAGAGCAGCCACTGAATGAATGAATGAATGAATGAATGAATGAATGAATGAATGAACTTTATTGTACATTCCCAAAAATGGGTTTTCCGGTGAACAATGCAAATACAATAAAAATACAACGCAAATACAACAAAAATACAATAAAAATACAATAAAAGTGTAATACTATTCAAAAACTCGTCAAGCATCTTTGCTTTAAAATTTTTCTTAAAGTTCACTGAACCTTTGCACAGTTTTAAATCTTTATCTAATGAATCCTCTGACCAGCAGCGGATTTACATAAAGGAATGTTAAGTTGTTGAGAGTTTCTTGTTTTGCCGTCAGATATCTGTCCTCTTGTTGTAAACTTTGACGTCAGATAAGTCGGAGCACAGCCCGTCATACACTTAAATGCAAAGATAGCATCGCGGAGATAAAGCTGCTTTTTTTACGGGGAGCCACCCCAAGTTTTTGAGTGATGGGGTTTTGTGTTTAAATTTCCTTGCACCAGTGATTATCCGAGCCCCGAAGTTCTGGACGAGTTGTAATTTTTGCACATTACGGGTAGAGGTTTTACACCACACTGAAGAGCAGTAGTATAATCTACTAAAAGCAAGCGCATTTATGATGTTCACTAATAGGTCGGGTTTAAACGCCTCCTTTGCTCGATTAATCATGCTGAGCTAATTTACTCATGCAAGATGAAACTGTCACTGAGATGTGTTTATCCAATGACAGAGTAGGGTCAAAAGTTACACCGAAATCTTTGATGGACTCTGATGGCACTAGTTCCTTTCCGAGCAGCGAAAGCTTGAAATCGGACAATCTGCGGATCATCGGGCAGCTGCCAAAGACCATGAGCTTTGTCTTTTCACGGTTGAGCTGAAGAAAATTGTCGAAACACCAGTTACGGATTAAATATAAATTATTTTGGATAATTTCCTTTGCTTTGTCAGCGTCCCCAACGCTGAAAGATGCAAGAAGTTTGGTGTCGTCTACGTAGCACCCGGTTGAGCATCTCTTGCTAATGGCTGGTAGGTCATTTACATAGATAATGAACAAAAGAGCCCCAAGTACGCTGCCTTGAGTGACGCCGCAGACAACAGGTAGTGCGTCTGACTGTGTTGAGTTTATTCGAACTACCTGAAATCTTTGAGACAGGTAGCTCCGAAACCAGGTTAGTGCAGATAATGAGAGACCAATGTTCTTAAGTTCGTTTAATAGGATTTCATGCTTAATACTGTCGAAGGTCTTGTAACTTTGGTCTGACCAATCGCTCGTAAAATAGCATCTGTAGAGGACACTAATGAAGTTTCAATTGAAGGCCACTTTTTATTTCCGCTTTGATTGAATGCAAGTCTCTCTTTTTCTGTCAAGTATGTTATGAGCTGATCAAGCGCGACATTTTCACACACCTTTGATAGAATAAGCAATAGGGAAATCGGCCTATTACTCGCTTCTTCGTGATGGCCCTCTTTTGGAATTGGACACACCTCAGCCATTTTCCATACCCTCGGGAAAACACCACTATTAAATGAACTGTTTATGATAGAGGTGATTGATGGAATAACAACAGGAGCAGACTCTTTAAAGACACGAGATGGTATTTTGTCAATGTCAGGTGCTTTGTTTTTGGTTCATTGCGTTTCGCTTTTGTAAGTGTTTTGTAAATATGTGGTATTTTGCCTAGGGCTTTTGCTCACACGTGGATGAAAGCTGAGAGAGGTATTAATGACTGTGATCATGTACTGGTCACAACAGCGCGGCCAGCGAAGTCAAAGAATTAATTGTTTCAAGTCAAAGTCAGGAAGTGAAATCGTGTTTACTAGACGTGGCTCATAGCTTTTTTCTTGGCTATAGCATTTGATGGTTTTCCACTCGCTTTCTCTCCTTCTAGAGTCCAAGGTAGGCCTGAGGTAGTCTGTTTCTGTATTGTATTTTTTTTATGTATTCATTGAAATTATGGCGGTGCTCGTGTCTTAAGATGGCTGGTACCGGTTTCCTCGCGAGGGGAGTAGATCACCATCGTGCGTCACGCGTGAGTAACACGTACGATAGAGGCGCGAGATTTAAGACCCGAAAAACCAAATCAAATATGGCGGCGCGCGGGCTTTTTTCACGCAAGATCACTTTGGCACTGTTGGAGACGAAATTCGCCTATAAAGGAGGCTTTACCTGCTACAACAACTGAAGTCAATTCTATGCATTTAAGAAATATTGTTTCGGAAATTCAATGTTTCCCAAATTTCAAAGGCAACTCGATCGATCGTGACAGCCACCGGGAGCGTATAAAGGACTCGCAAAGTGTATGTAAATATGGAGAATGGACATACCAACAGAAATTATTTGGCTTATTCTTTTTCGGCGCATTTTATGCTTGGTATTCTGTTTCCTCGACGAACACTGCGTATGCAGGAGATAGCAACGACGAGAAACCAAACTACGAGTACCGGCGACACAAAGGTTCTTTTGCCTCTAAACGACGAATTCAATCCGTAACAAATCTCGCCAGAGTAAAAAAATAATGAACCAAAGCCAATAAAAATCACCCTGAAGAGGAAAAAGACTTTGAACCTCCAAGAAAAATAGAAACGAGGTCACAGGTACCTCGTTTAAACGCTGACTATTTATTGTTACGCCGCTAACACTGTGGCAAATATTGGCTCAAATGTTGAAAATAAAAATTACACTCGGTACTCATTACTGAGCTTGAGCAAAATGCTGCGACTTTTTTTGAGATTGATTATGTA